CTCTACTTGGACTCCTACCTTACAGGTCTACAGTTCGAATCTCCCTACAGCCTACAACCTACGGCGACCTACTTACCACTGGCTATCGTGCAGGTCACGGGTTCAACTCCAGGGAATTGTGCAGGTACTGTACACAGGTAAGCTGAGGTCAAGGGATCGACCCCTGGGATCTGCATCGGCTACTGCCAAAGGTGAAAACTGTTTCATTTGGCTCTCCAACGAGAGCAAATGACTTCTCAGGTAAAGAATTCGTATGCATCTGTGGTTAAGTTTGGTGGTGGTGCAGGTGCAGGCAAGCGGGTACTTTGGCGCCAAAAGCGCCAGGACCACACCCTCGTCGTCTTTGATACTGTGGAGAAGTGGCCATTGGAGGCCGCGGGTGTGGCGAGCAGCAGTGAGTCTGGGAAGGGGGAAGTCATTGCTGCCGTGGTCAGGAAGGGAGGACCACGACCACCTGTGAAGAAGAGAAGACCATTCTCGTTTCCTGAACATCTCGGAATTGTGGACGGGAAGCCATGGGAAAAGATGGGATTGTCACAAGGAACCTGGCAGGAACGGATGGATAACGCGCAGTGCCTGAAGTGTGGTACTGCAGGGCATGGGATTGCATGGTGCCTGTTAATCCGTAACCCAAAAGCAAGCCGCCAGTAGGAGTAGCATGTGCTCCTACTGAGTCAAAGGGTTTGAACCAAGATGAAGGTAAGGCGCCTATAACCCCTTCCAACCCTTCGACTCGCATGGCAAAGGATGGTTCTTCTTCGGCCTATCGCCCGGAACACCCTGAACCTGTCTTATGTACTGTCTCTCGGGACGACTCTCTTGACGAGCTTGGTAACGAGTTGCTAGCATTACGAAGCTCGTGGGCTAGAAAATCTAAGTCTAAGGGTGACCTACTACTCACAGACGTAGATTCCTAGAATTGAACATAAGTTACAAGAACACTCAGTAGTTTTAGTACGTGGTGGTAGAGTAAAGGATTTGCCAGGGGTACGATATCATATAATAAGAGGTACTCTAGATACAATAGGAGTAAAAGATCGTTATCAAGGTGATCTGATTCTGGGGATGGATTGGCACGAGGAAGCCAACCCAGAAATTAAGTTCAAAGAAAAGACGGTGCAACTGCGGGATGCACACTCAGAATTGAAACCAATCAAACTATATCATAAGTCTGGCTGTGACTCTACTTTGTCTTTTTGTTGTATGAGTTACTCAACTTTTCGATCAATTGTTTCAAATAAAAAGTTGGAGCAAGAAGTAATGATGGTCTTGGTAAAAAAACTAGGGGAATGCTCTACTTCCTATCCTCCTTCGATTGAAAAACTCCTAGAGGAGTATAAAGATCTGCACACTGAACCAACATGAATAACTGAACGTGCTATTAAGCACACAATCGAAATTATTCCTGGTAGTAAGATTCCCAAGGGCCCTATCTACCGAATGTCTCTTAGTGAACTTGAGGAACTTAAGAAACAGTTGCAAGACTTAATTGATAAAGGATGGATTAGCCCTAACTCTTCTCCTTATGGTGCCCCTGTTCTATTTGTGCCCAAGAAGAAATGTGAGTTACGTCTTTGCATTGATTATAGAGGGTTGCATGCCGTCACTGTTAAGAATGTCGTACCTCTTCATCGTATTGACGACTTGTTGGACCAATTGCAGGGCTGTAAGTTTTTCAGTAAGATTGATCTGAAGTCTGGGTACCATCAAATCGAGGTGGACCCCGCAAATCAACACAAGACTGCATTCCGAACAAGGTATGATCACTACGAGTACGTGATTATGCCTTTCGGACTGATAAACGCGCCAACGACCTTTCAAAGGTCCATGAATGAATTGTTTCGTCAATGGTTGGATCAATTCGTCATTGTCTTTCTCGATGACATTCTAGTGTATAGTAAGATATTAGAAGAACATGAAAAACACTTACGTCTTGTAATGGGAAAGTTGCGTGAGGAGAACTTTAAGTTAAACCCAAAGAAGTCTGAGTTTGCTAAGTCCGAAGTCTTATACTTAGGACATATAGTAGCGAAATGGCCTAAGGCCAGAGGAAAAGAAGATATCAGCAATTAGAGATTGACCACGACCTAAGTCAATAACTGAACTAAGATCTTTCCTTGGTTTGGCAAGCTATTATAGGAAGTTTGTTAGAAACTTCTCATTGATCGCCGCACCATTGAGAAAATTGTTAAAGAAAGCAACTATATGGTTGTGGGACAAGGACTGTGAGTTTTCTTTTAAGAAATTGAAATATGCACTATTTCACTATCCCGTTCTAAAAATTGCTGATCCATCCCTTCCTTTCATTGTCACTACTGATGCAAGTCAGTACGAATTGGCGCAGTACTGCAACAGAATGATGGCAGTGGGAATAGTCCCCTGGAGTTCATCTCTGTCCGATTGTCGTCCGAAAAGGTCGCCAACTCCTCCTATGAGAGGGAACTATATGCATTAGTCTGCGCACTGAACACCTGGAAACACTACTTGTTAGGGAGACACTTCATTGTGTACTCAGACCACTCTACCCTGAAGTGGATAAAAACACAGCCTAGACTCTCTGATAAGCTGGAACGATGGTCTGCTTTCCTTGATACTTTTGATTTTGAACTAAACGGTATCAAGGGTAAGTCTAATGTTGTTGCAGATGCATTGTCCAGACGATGTGATTTCTTTGGTACTATTGTCTCTTGCTTGGATGTTGGGAATTACCTGAAAGACAGCATTGGCAAAGGATATGCTATTGATCCTATTTGGAAGCCTATCATGAATGTCCTTGCGAAGGATCCATCTTTACTTCCCAACTATAGAATAGCCGATGGTTTGCTTTTCTTGATAGACCAAACTGAACAAAGATTGTTTATTCCTCATCAGGAAGAAATCAAGAGTTTGATAATTGGGGAATGTTACGACTTTGAAGGACATTTTGGGTTCAAGAAAACTTACGCAGAGGTTAGAAAACGTTTTGAGTGGAAGGGACTGAAAAAAGGCGTATTAACTTATGTTCGTACATGTCTGGTATGCCAGAGAAACAAACCTTCACATGAGAATCCACTTGGTTTGCTAAAACCATTACCGATTCCAAGTGAACCAGGTGAGTCCATTTCGATTGATTTTACGAGTCTTACCAAGAGTCGTAATGACAATAGTCAAGTAATGGTTATTGTGGATCGTTTCTCTAAATATGCCATGTTCATTCCCTTACCCGCAGAGGCACGGACAAAACTTGTGATCCAAAAATTTCAAATGCGATGGGTGATTGAATACGGATTTCCCCTCTCTATTGTGTCTGATCGTGATGCCAGGTTCACAAGTATGCCATGGCAAAAGCTTATGGAAGCATACGGTACGCGACTGACCATGTCGTCAGGGCGACACCCTGAAACGAATGGACAAAGTGAACAGATGAACCGTTTGTGCCAGCAACTTTTGCGCATGTATGTGAGACCCGATCAGATTGATTGGGATGAGAACTTACCCTAGATAGCAAGTGCATACAATAGTAGTGTTCATATCGCTACAGGGCGTATGCCTAATGCGCTGCACAAGGGGTGGAAACCTAAGCGTCCCATTGATGTGTTAACATGGGACCAGTTCCTTAGGTTACCTTCAGAGACCCAGGAGTATGCAGTATTGTTTCAAGAAGACATTAAGAAAGTAATTGAAAGAAAGCTCAGGACCAAATGATTGAACAAGCTAACAAGCATCGCCGACCCTCAACATTCAAGGAAGGTGATCTAGTCTGGGTCAAGTCCAAAGAGTTTTCGTTGAAAGAAAATGTGTCTCAGAAACTTCTGCCCGTCTATTTTGGACCCTGGGAAGTTCTCAAAGTAATTGGGGATGCAGAGGGACCGTCTTATCGAATTGATATTCCCCCTCACCTCAAAACGTATCCTGCCTTTCATGCGTCCAAATTGTTACCCTATGTAGAAGGAAATGAGTTCCCACACAGACCGTTTATGATTCCGCCAGACATGGATGGCGTATATGAAGTAGATAGAATCATAGAGCATGGGTACTTTTCTACGGGTGGACGTGGACGACCCCAGAAGCAGTTCAAGGTACGTTTCAAATCTCAGGCACCATCTGAGGACAGATGGTTCAGTAAACGATAATTGCTTGAAATTGCTCCTGATATTGTATCTGCATATGAACGTGGGGTAAACTCTTAATTATTTCTGCGATGGAACTCGAAAATGGGTCGGCAGGAATGCAGTAACCCGTGTTCTGCAGCAGTCTGGGCCCTCGAAACGGAGCCCAGACGACGCCGACCAAACTCGGCCTGCGCCAGGCAGTGTGACCACACACTACCCGTGGGAATATCAAAAGTCTAAGCCAACTGTCAGGTCAAAGGTACCGCGCCCAGGCCCTTGGTCGGATACACTCACTTGTTGTGCGCAAGTACTCAGACAGCATCGAGGCCAGAAGGAATTCTGTTTCAGGTCAATTTGGGCTGATATTTGCATTGACATCTGCACGGCTGAGGGATGCAGCATCCGGGGTGCAGACCCCGCGTCAACGCTACTTAAGCGCTGACTTCTTGACTTTGACATTCATTCAGTCTTGCGTCAATGCTGACTTCACGCGTTGACGACGCAAGCTGGCTCGACGCTGAGACGCTGGTTGGACGCTGGCTTTGTGCTGGCACTTGTGTGATTATGGCGACGCGCTGCTGGCTCGACATGGTGGCTGGCTGGCTATTGTCTTCAGGGCATGCTGACGTGGCAGCTGCCGCACGTCGCTGCTGACGTGGCCGCTGCCACGTGTACTGTTGCTGATGTGGCTGGGCTATGTAACCGGCACTGCTGTTCTGATTCATCGTCACTCGGGAGGAGATCATGACTGTGGGATGATTGTGGACACGTACTTGGTTATCTTGAGGTCGACATTGCTGTAGTACGCTGATGAAGGACTGATCGACGTGCCACGTGGCACATTGTAATAGAACTTTAGATGTGCGTTCGGACTATTGATTATTTGAGGTGGTGATCGAAAAGGGAGCCCGAAGCAGAAGTGGGCATTGGTCTTCTTCCTCTTCTTTGTCTAATCTCCCTCCCTTCTCCTTCGTCTGTGTATGGTTCTCCATCTCATTCTATCTGGACACGATTATGATTATTGGTAAATCATCAGCAGGTTGATATTTATCTGGGCTTGCATTGTTGACAAGTGTCTTCACGATCTGGGTTCATTACACCCGAAGGCAAACGTGTGTTTTCATCCAAAATTCGCTCTTTTCAGTTTTTCAGGATTTTCAGGGCTGGCCAAAACAGTCATCTCCAAGACCCCAACACACACCAAACTTGGCACATACAGACCTTGACCAACAATAAAACAGGGCCAAAAAAAAAAAGGAGAAAAAAAAAAATGCACTTTTCAGAGTTGG